ATGCTGAATGACGTGCAAACACACTTCATCAGGATAAGATTGCTGTATCAGCCCCTCACTAAAATTCACTCATTATTCAAATAATAACTGTATGTCTCCAGCATGTGTTCTGTGAAATACGTGTACATGATGTGGGCGAGTAAACCGGCCCCCTTTTCAACATGCAAATCCTGTCTTTACCAGTCACTTGAAATACTTTAGATTTGAGTCATTTTTGTACTTTACTACCCAAAATGAGCCACACGAACCAATTTGATCGTTATCTTAACGTGTTAAAATTTTCAGAAGTTTGTAAGTGTGGTTTTCAAGGGGGACTGATTTGATTTACAAGTTGAAGTCCCGTGATAAGTCTCATTTTGAAGATGGGATGTGGACAGTAGGTCAGTAGGATGCTTCGGAAAGGCTCGTTTTCATGAACGCTGAAGCTCGCTGGAATCAAGTGGGAGGAACAGCAGATCCGTGACATTGCAGTTACTTGGAATACTTGTTTTGGAGGGGAGAAATATGGGTCAGAAATGACAAATGCCAGAAACACACCAAGAAAATCAGCTCTCTAAAGTAAAGGTTTGTTTCTTCTAGCTGTCAGGAGATGAATTTATAATTTTATATTTCTCCTGTCATCTCATATATCTTTAAATAATTCCTACAGAAGAGAAAACCGGCAAGAAGCACATTTCTTACACTGCTACGGGTGTTTGCTATGTCATTAACACTTGGAGGAGAACCACCATCTTGAAATCCTGTCCAGGCAGGTTTAAAAGTAAGGCTGAAAGAAGAATGATATTTCATTTAATTAAACACTAGACATAAATCCATCCATGTTCTTCCTCTTTTTCTCAGTTTGTAAATAATGATGATAGTATTTATTTTGGAAAAAGTATTTGCATTTCATCTTTTGGGGTCCTTACGTATTTGTGGAAGGGAACGTTCCAGAATTACTCTATATACTGGATGTGTCCTGATCGCTCTCTATAGAGAGCAATAAAGCTGGACTGAAATTCATCCTTATGATAATAGAAAAGGTTTGGGATAGACAGGATCATTTTAGGTTGAGAGCAAGAGGCTCCAGTATATTCTGAGAAGAGAACATCACATAGTCAAAATGTTAAGTACCTGTTTATGTGATTTATTCGCGAGTCATGGGCTCTGACATTGCTCATTATTCTGCCTTTTCTAGTGTCATAAAAACCTTGGATAACTTTTAAAAAAATTGAAATAATAGCTTGGTTTCTTTTCAAGTTGCTAATGTGTTCTGTACAGTGGGGATATCGCTGAGGGTCTGATCCTGAGCAATATTAACCCTGAAGCTCCTGCAGGAGTTGTAGGTGCTCAGCCCCTCTTGTGCAGTCTGCAGGATCAGAGATGCAATGCTGTATTTTGGGACAATGTTCTCTCTCTGCTCTCGATGCTTGTTAAAAAAGCCAGATCAACATGAAAGAGAGCTAAAGGATCCAAGTCTGACCTAGGTCATTTGGTACTGAATGGGGGAATACAGCAATGAGCTGTAATTTGAGTGGCCCTTTTCCCTTCTCTGCTAGGTAATGGCTTCGACTAGTTTAATGTATTCAAAGTAATAAAAGTTTAACTCAGCCAGTTATATGAAATTATTGATAAAAATTGGAAGAGTTTAGGCAGGAATATTGAGTTAGTCCAAAAAGCAGAAAATGCCTGCTGAAAGTAGTGTCTGGTGAACAAGAGAGACTAGGACTGGAAATTAATTGAGGAGAAGGGATGTCATGGGAATTAGGCAGAGAAAACAGCAAGAGGAGATAGGCTCTTCCTCTCCTTCTCCCTTCCTGAGGCCGTTCTTTGCCACTGATACCGAGAGGACAAGCAGACAGAAAGGGCCAAACTCTGCCACCGCAGTGAGTGATTTCAGGTTTATCGCCTGGTCCCCGGAGCTGTCCTGAGGGGCTGTGTCAAAGGGAACGGTCTCGGTAACCTCCCCACCTCTTAGTCTTGCACAAAATTTTGTATTTCTCCTACTACTGCCCTCCTGTTGCTTATTTTCCTCATTCGGTTCTGCTGCTTTTCTTTCTTTTTTCTCTGCTTTCTGTCTTGACTGGATCACGTGCAGAACTGCAGTGATCCAGTTGGAGGGGGAGCGGGTGGTGGCAATGTCTAACACAGCGTCATGCTGGTACGAGTGTGCCAGGTCTGGCCGGAGGCTGGTGAGATCATGTTCTGCTTGGATTGTCCAGCAGGCGAAACTGCAAGTAAGAGGAAGGTTTTATCCATGGATTCCTCCTTTTTTGCTCTTTTTAGCCATTCTCTTCATTCTCTTTCGTGAAGACTTATTTGCTTGCACTGTGCTGCCTTCGGAAAAGCAGAGTTGGATCCCAACAATAAGCCACTCATGTCTTAACTAACTTTTTTTTTTACTCTCTCTAGAAAAGACATAAATAACATTTTTCATGTCTCTATGAGATTGTCAGACAGGGATGTTTTCCTCGCTGAAACCGTAACAATTAAAGGAAGCAAGCAGCATATTTTGAATGAAATAGTTAATGCCTTAATTGTTTTAGTTTCTTTTTTTCATAAATGATTAGTGAGGTTTTAATGACAATATATTGCCGCAGCACAAAGTTGTGCCTTGGCCTGAACTTGAAACTCTCCAGTAGTTTTAATCCTAGTTGAGGGAAGCAGGTCTGTGTCAACATGGAACTGCTCGAGCCAGTTTCATCCGTAAAGATATTGCCGTGCCCTCCTCCCCCTTCTCACCTCAGGCTCATCACATTTTCAGTCCAGGTAGTTCCAGTGCTTGCAAATTAAGAGGACACAGAAATGACATAAAATGCCCTTACAGTCCCTGTGCCCTTCCCTCCTCATTCTCTTTCAAGGGCTTATTCCTAGAAACCCAGCAGAATGTCATCACGCCGCTGCTGAGCGTACCCGGCACTAATTTGTCACCTGTGTATCAGGCGAGACCTGCGCTGACGCTTTTCACGGCAGCGTTCACTTGAGCGTGTTTACAGTCACTCTCCCATCTCCTTTTCCCATTACACACTCCATTTTTTTCCTCTCTACGCAGCCCACACAAGAGACCCCAGATCACAACAGCAGGTCACTCACCCACCCGCTCCGTCCCACCTTCTCCCCCAAGAAGGTGGCCGTGATTTATCTGCTCGTGTCGGTGAGCAGGTGGCAGTTGGACTCAAGGCTGAGCCCGCTTAGCCTGTGATAAATAACATATTTACCAGCCCTTCCATCTTCAAATGCTGTCCACATGCAGTCCAGAAAGCAGCACAAAACTCTTAAATAGCCAATACATCCAGGCTGTGGCAGACACGGGGAAACGGGAGATATAATGAGTGTTTTCCTGCTAGGAGGAGGTTGGAATTGAAGCCTGCTTCTCGTCCCGGTACCTTTTATTCACATTCCTGGAATTATCGGGTGTGCTTGCTTTATCCCCAGCCATCTGTGATGGGCTGAGCTGGGAGAGATAAGCTCAGTAATCAGAAAATTGAGGGAAGCATTTCTGGCTGTGATAATCTTATCGGGCAGCTAATATACATTAACATTTGTACAGCCTGATGATGCAGGTGGGCCTTTGCTTATTTTTGGTTCCTGGATGCCTTTTGACAGGCAGGGGCAGAACGCAGGGCTTCGAGGTGCCGGGGGAAATTTGGCTAAAACCTCTTTTCTGCCCTCTCTCTTCTGCTGCGTCCCTGTGGTATCGGAAAGGGGAGGGAGAATAATCCAACCATCCCTTTGCTGCCCTTTCCTGCTAACAGTGCTGCCATGTTCTGTCTGTCTTTTCTGGTAAGCCTGGAAGGGCAAAGAGGCAATATGTCAAAATTTCAGTTCTGGCTGAGCAATATGCCTGTATGTGTCAATATGCTCCTCTTCCTTCTAAAACTGGGGAGTTTCTGCCAGCTTGCTGTCTTTGCAGGTAGTTTGCCATTGCAATGGGATTTCGCTCTACAAGTCTAATCAGTGCTGTTGAAGGAAATGGTTTGTTAATGGATTGTTTCCCTGGTGCTGAGCACTGAACTCTCTCTGGTCATAAGTTTTGCATCTGTAATTAGGACTGGATTGCTTATTGTTTTCCTCCTCAGTGAAAAATATAGTTTCTGTCAATAGATTTATTAGGAGAATTAGTCACCAGGTGCTAAAAGACAGATGACAAAAGGAAATTCAAAATCTGAAGGATGAGTGCGAAGGAGGTGTAAGCTGGGAGATGGTGCTGAAACAGAAGTTTGAGTATCTTCCAGGTAGTTTGTCTCTGCTTACAATTCATAATAAATAATTTTCTGAGGGGTATAGAAACAAGTAACATATGTCATTTATCAATCTGTGTGTCGTCTTCATAGCTGAATTAGGGATACAGATTCCCATAAGTCAAGGAGCTGGAGAACGGTAGAGGCTGGGTAAGAAGTTTTCATGTCTGTAGAGTTTTGAGGTGATTTCTTGGAGTTCCTTCCCAAGCAAGGCCAGAGGCAGAATGTACTCTTAATTGTTTGTTCCAGCAGACCTACCTGAGCAGCCTGAGCTAGAAGTGTGTATTGGAAAGTGCTGGAAATATTCCCCAGTCCTGTGGATTCAATGTATGAGTCTGAGTTGTCCTGGACAAGACAGCGTAATCCTGTGGTTCATTTCTTCTGGGGAAGAATTGAAGCTAAATGAGGTTGAACTGTCAATACTGCATCTCAGGTGGCAGCGAGCTCATAATACCACACAGATAATTGTCTGCATCCCATTATCTGTGGGAGACGGGATTGGGGAATTATCTGGAAGAGAAGCAGAAGCTTTGCTAAGAAACGATCAACTTTCTGGGCCTCATCTACCTTGGAGAAAATATGGGGAAAAGCAAAAGGATTGCAAAGGGAAGCAGGATTAACCGAGGTTTTGACATTCAACACGTGAGAGTTGTACTTCACGTCTGTATCCTGAGAAAGGTCTGAACTATGCAGAACGTCATGATTTCGTCCTCCTTCCTTTGCTGTTCGTCTGTCCCCCGGTTTAGTACTGGAGGAACTAATGCCTTTTCTCTTCTGCAGCTGGAGGTGGAGATGAAGGTCCTGAAGTCTCAAGAGTGCACAGCTGAGCAAAGTACCGTCATCACCAAGGAGGAGGTTGACACGCTTAGGTAGGCAAAACAAGGGGAAGGCTGAGAAAGTTCTGCTGTTTCCACTGGAACTAATGAGAAGGGAAATGCCCGGGGTAGTTTCACTGCCTGCTCTCATTATTGCCATCTCGTGGTAGAGCACCAGGTACAGGACCTAACCATGCTACAAAGCATGAAAAAGTGGGTGCCTATAGACTGCCTGTGTACATAGACTGCCTGCTTTTCAGGGAACAGCCATGGTAGCATCAATCAGAACATGTTCTCCTTATATTTCTGAAGTAGAATGTCCTTTTCCCAAACACACTTTTTACTTTCCCGACAACTTTTATGGACATGAGAAATCCTTGAAGCATGAAAAGAAAGCCTCAGACCTGTATCTTTCCTGCATTTAGATACTTTATAAGCTTTTCTGTCTTTTGGGAGGCTGCAGGCTCCTTTCTTTCAATGTTTGGGGTCTCTTGCACTCATTTAATTTATAAGGCTGGCTCCTGCGTCACTATTCCCCCTGTTGACTTTCTTTCCTGTGGAAACAGCATTGCTGTTTGTTTCTTGTTTTGACCAAATCTTGACTGTAAATACAGGATCTGTTGGCATGTGTGTAAAGAGGTTTAGAATCCAGCTTTTGTAATACTGATGTGCATGTAGCAGTGGAGATAAAAGAGGGATGTTTCCCCTCGTGCATTGCTGCAGATGGCAGAGGGGTATCTGTTGTGATTCAGTGAAAGAGAAGTCACAAAACAGCATTTCAGCAGAGGATACATGAGCATTTACAAAAGGTACAGTGAAGCTAGACAACCTTTCCATGTATTTATTAAAGCATTTATAGCTTCCATTCCAAAGCAGGTGACACAATAAATACTCAGCACAGAAAAGTTCGTCTGTTTCTGAATGTTTAATAAAATTCCTTTTATTTAAGCTGAGCGAATCAGACCTTGACAGGCTGAGTTTTTTGTTCTCAGCTGATGTAAGACTTTGGCTGGAGTTTCAGTTCTTAATTCTTTTATATTTTCAACTCCATCACTGTAAAGCGTTACTGCCTTTTAGGACTGAAAGCAGGATTTTTGCAGCAAGCGGAATCTTGCAGAAGCAGAAATTACTGGCCTGTACGTTACGACTTTGCTCTTGTGCTTTGCCTCTGGAGCTTGTTTTACGGCTTTGAAAGCCCAGCTCCATAGCAGAGGGGAGGCGTTTGAAAATAACACGTGTTCAGCTAAGCTATTGCAATGCATTTTAGGGCTGTACACCTAGAATTAGGGCCTCGCTCCTGGAGTATAGTTCCCTCAAGATGGTGTAATAGTTCTGAAGACCCAAGGCGTACATCTCCCTTTTTTATTCTGTCATATGTTTGATTTCCTCTAGAGGATGGTATGCTATGGCTTTCCCTTTTTCAGGGAGATAATCCTGTCTCCATCTGCTTTTGCGTATTGTGGATGCTTGTTTGACCTGAGCTCATTCAGGTTTTTCCTTTGCTAAGGCACACCAGGCCCTCTGAATCCTGGTGTTTGTACTGCTGCAGAAGTACTCAGCACCTCCTCAGCAGCATTAAACCCGTCACTCCTGATTAATATTATGCCTCTCTATCAGTAAAGCCAGCATCCTGTGCGCTGTCTTCTGGGAGCTGAAGGTTTTCAGAATATTTCTGCAGTACCTCCTCGGTCTCTCCCTCCCTTGGTTGGTATGGGCTGCAGCACCCTTTCATGTAGGAGATGTTCAGTCTCTTTATTTTCACCTCCAAGACACATTATTCGGTGTTTATCTTCGCTGAGCAGCGTTTGCCATCTATTAACCAAGCAGCTTCAGGAATGGCATGTGTAGGGGGAAACAGCTGGATTGCCACGTAGTTCAGGACCGTTTCGTATTGCAGAAGGCTCTTGGCAGTGGGGATAGAAGGTCTGGCTTTGCCCTGAATGAAAACTGATTTCCTGGGCAGGAACAAGTGGAGCTCGCAAGTACCTGCTTGTCACAGGATTGTAGTGTTAGGTTCTGCGCAAAGGTAGCCCCAAAACCCTCTACATAATGTTTTTCTTTCTCTCTTTTTTGTTTTTAAAGAATTTATTTGACTACTAATCTCATCTCTCTCCTCCTTTCATGAAATTGTGCCGAAGCCTCCACGCAAAGTGTGACAGACACAGCCCTGTTCCCAGTGCAGCCATTGGTGGTGCGGAGCCGTTCTCCAGTGCTGAGCCGTACGCTGAAAGCTGTTTCAGCAAAGAGGCTCAGCTTCTGCAGTTGTTTCAGGGTGATATTTTTGTCTTTTCTTCTCTTTTCCATTTCAGTACCACACGCCCCCGAGGCTACGGATGCACAGAGGCCACGGGCCCAGGATCTAATTCCAGGCTTTTTCTGTCTCTTTTTACTGAACCACTTTTTGTTGTTACGGCTGATTTAAATACTTGTCCCAGGCCCTGATGCTAGTCGTTTAGCTACAAAGCTGTTCCAAAAAGCATGGATTTGTTTGGTTTTAATCACCCTTTTCACTGCTCAGCTCTAACAGTAAATGACTTGGTGCAAAGTGTTCTCTTTCTGCTGGAGCTCTCTTTGCTGGAGAGCTGGTAAGCCGGTCCCTGCTCCTTTTTCCTTACTGTTGGCTGCTACTGCTGCTTCAGGTGTCTTCTCAGACTCGCAAGCACTCTGTTCAGCATTGCAAAATCGACTCCATAAAGATTTTTTTTCTTATGCTCCTAGACTTAAGCAGTCAAAGGATATGATTGGGCCTTATGTTTTTTCTAGCATTTTTCGTGCATTGGACAAGAAACTGGGCCAAGTTTGTTCTTCATAGAAGAGGCTCCTTCTCAAAGGAGTGTAAGATAAATCACTATCTTTCTCTCCAGGCTTTTGGGGTTCAGGAATAACATGTTGTGGTCTGCCCCAGAATACTCATCGTGACTCGGCTGGATGTGTCCACTCCTTAGAGCAGAAGCTAATTGGTTAGCTCTAATTAAAGCGCAGAAGGGAGGAGATCAGAGATTGGTATGGGAAGGGATTAGGTCTGCTGTGCTCGTCCTCCCCCTGTGTCCATGTGGGCCTCAATAGGACCGATACACTCAATTTTATGTAGCTGCTAAGGAGGAGCGAGCAAAACAAGCACCACTGTTACTCCTTCCTTCTACAGGCAGCTGGCAGAAAATGGGGAAGAATGCAAACTTCCAGTTTGGAAAGTGGGGAAAAAAATGCCACAGCTTATGAGGGAGTTGTTTCCATTTCTGCAGTTTTTTGTGGTCTTTGAAATGCCATTAACATACAGTATGATGTGTCTGCTCTTCTGGACTGAGCCCAGCCTCTCCAGTTAGCTGCTGTCATGAAGGAATGTGAAAAATAGAGGAAAACCAGCAGAAGCCATCAAGGGGAGTCTGCAGAGCAGGAACGGACTGAGCCTCCAGGCGTTTCCACATGCACCTCATGGTTAGAAACTAACTTCTGAAAACAAAAGCAGGAGAGATATAAAGGAGAAAAAAAAAAAATCCATATTAATCCAGTGAATCTGTATTCACTGCCAGTGAGTGAATGAGAGCTTTTAAAAATATATCTTTTGTCTCATTTTTCTTTAGTATGGAAAGTAAATTTTCAGCGAGACACTTGAAAGACTTTATCAGTTTTTCCTCCTCCTCTTGAGAACAAAGTGCTCTTTCGTCAGACCTTTTATAACTTTAAATGTGAAACTCTCTCCCAGCATCATCGTTTCTGAAGAGACAATAAAAGCTGGTGCTAATGCTGTCATTTCTCACGCTTCGTGCTGCTCCCTCTGAAATCATATATGTTTATATCCTGCAGATCTTACGAAAAGAAAAAGTGGTCCAACTGTTGAGTTCAGGCACTGTGGGATATAGCAAAGCAGAGAGCACTTAGGCATTAGCACCTTTTAGAGGGAAGGTGATAACTGTGCAGAAACTAGTATTTCAGAACCTATAAATAAAAGTAATATATTTAAAAAGAACTCCACTAAAGACTTAAGTGGCAACAGCTGAAGGACCTTTTCAGCTGGAACAAATCTGAACTTTTTCTTTCTGCTGTCAAACTGCAACCCCAGTAAATCCTAAATGTTTTCTGTGGATTTAGTGACTGGGGAGAGTTACAGTAATTCAAAAGAAATTCATATCCTTGCCAATGCCTATTAGTCACACTTGCTGGAATTCTGTCTGCTCTGCTCCTAACACCATCTCAATGCCATCTGGATCCCTTAATAGCATCTTCCCAACACATACATTTTCTGCTCCATTCAATAGTTTCCTATTCTGCAACAGCTTTTCCACATGGCCATGTCCTCTTTGCAGATGGGGCCTCTGTGAGACATGTCCTCATCGGCAATATCCACGCTGCTCTACAAGCAATCACATAACGTCTGAGAGCATTAAAAACTAATAAAAGAAAGATAAAGGGGTGATGGTGGGGAGTTGTTGCTGGTTAACTCCATTGAAAAGCTCTGGACTGAGAGAGACTTTTGGAAGTGCTTTGCTGCTGTTGAAAATCAAACAGATTCCTCCCTTCTTCCTTGCTAAAATAGGAGCAACCTGTGGACTTTCTCCCTAGTAGCCATCGCTCACTATCTAAGCACTTTTTAGATAGACTGAACTCATACGATGAGATGTCTCCTGTTTCTCACAAGTATCATTTCAGGAGACCAAAGGCTGTAGTTTTTGTGTTTGTTTTTTTTCTTGTTCCCCCTTCTAATCTGGGACAGTGAAACATGAAGTGGAGGCAATATAAAGCTCAGTTTTTAAAAGTGGGAAAATCCACAAGTCTGAACAAATGCCTATGAATCAGTATTCCTGCACTAAATTTGATCTTGTGAAAGGCTGTGGAGATGGCTTGAATTTACTTTGTGCCTGTGGAGACTGCGACTCTGGGTTAGTTTGTCTGCATCTGGTGCAGGAAAAGTCTTCCAGAAATGCAGACATCAAGTTCAAACATTTTCATGTTTTCAAACCCCTGTATGGAGAAGTTGTTGGTAAATTTTCCAGAAATTAATTCAAATGATTTTTCCCTGTATCACAAAACCTGAGAATGGTGTCAGTATTTCAGAAAGTAACTGACGTTTCTTCCTTCCTCGTGCCACAAGGCTGCTTCTAAAATGGGCACCAGCATTTGTTCAGGGGCAAGCATTAACTTGCTAGATGGTTGTGCTGTACCCAGATGTTTCTGTACTCTGCTTTTTGTGGTTCTCACGTGGATTTGTGTTGGATTGTTCTCCCTACCTGAAAGTAACTCCTGTATGTAACAAGTTGAGGTGTGCAAATTGATGATAAAATAGCATCACATACCCTGTGCAGTTGTCCCTGGATAGAGAGAGCACGAGGTGCGTGCAGACTAAGGCTGCCTTTGAGGATGCTGGTGCTTCCAAAAGCAGTACACAGTTGGCCCTGTACCTGAATTTTACATAAATGAGGAAATTTGAGTGCCAAGCAAGTAAATATTTTTCAATATTTGACTGCCGTATCTTAACCGCCAGCTGCAAAAGCTTTGCTGTGTTTATATATAGATAGGATTTCCCCTGCTTCTCTCTCTTTGCCATTGGGAAGACTTCCCCAGGGCTGGAAAGCAAAGCTGGAATAGCACAAACTGTTTGCTAATGGTTCTTAATGCTTTCCCACTGGAGATCCAGGACACTTAACAGTGTTAAAAATAGTTTAGAAGAGGGGTAAGCAGTGAAAGCACTAGTCAGTCCTAAAAACCTCTCTGGTACAAAGAGGTTACAGCAACGTTCTCAGTCCTCAGCGCAGAGGAAGCAGCAAGTTTTGTCTCTGAAGGAGAGCAGAGCTGAAGAAGCATGGAGGGGAGCTCCCTCCCTCAGTGGGCTTACCTTCCCCCAGCACGCAGGGGAAGCCCCATGCTGTGTCTGGAAAGGAGCATACCCCAATGATACCCTGGTAGCTGGAGTATTGGGAAGGACTGGGCATCTGAGGGTATTATACGGGAAGGACTGGGCAGCTGAGGGATGAGCCCAAGTGCAAGCTGACGTGTGCTGCTGGTCACAAAACACAGGGTCTGACTACATCTGCTGCCTGGCTGCGAGCACCCTGGGCTTCGAATCACTGCTCCTTCCTCGGTGAGGCATGAAGGGCACAAACAAATTATTAAATCTTGAAATTGCAGGTGAAACAGCGTAAAAATACAACGGCTTAAACCTGCCCTTGTTACAGCTCGCTTGTGTATTGGGTCTCTGCGAGTTGTTTTCTGGGGACTGCTACGAATGGTTTTTAAAGGGCCTTTAAGAGGCTGAGCTTAAACCTCCACATGGAGAGAAGTTCTGCAGGCAGATAACGGCAACATCGCAGCTTATTTGGGAGGCTGGATGGCAAGAAATTTGTTCTAAATTAAAATTCAGCGTGTCAAGTACGTAGAAAGTACTGATGAGAATCTCGCATCTGGTTCTGACCTTTCCGTAGCTGCTGCATGGTTGTTCCTCAGAGAAAAACGTTGCTCTTCTTGTGGCCTGTTCTGCAATCCATTTAGAAACACACCGTTAAAAGCATTAATTCCATTTTGAATTTCCATTTTTCCCGACCTTTTCAGTCTCCTGCTTCTTCAGCATCCTCCATCCCCGCTAGCTTTGTGTCTCTTCTGGAAATTATTGATGATCTTTTTTAACGGCCCAGACAATGCTAAAAGCCACTCCTCGGCATTTTAGATGCTTCCAAGAGTGAAAAAAGATGGTGTTTTATAAAATCTGAAAATTACCAGCAGGGGTCGGGCTTACAAATGATTTAAGCAATTCAAGCTACATATTTATAAAGGAGACATTTCTGTGCTGAACATGTTGTATATCGACCAGCTTCTATGGAAGAGTTTCAAACTTTTGGTCAGTAAATGGGAGAGACAACTTCTTCGTTGTACCTGAAAATTCTGTTGCATAATTTTGGGATATTGGCAGATGGGTGCATTGTTAATTGTCACGGTGCAAGGATTTTCAGCTTAATTTAGGTCATTTAAAAGTGAGTATTATCAAGCAAGATAATTAATTTTTTAAAAATATTCTGGAAAAGGATCCTGAGAAAATGGAATGCAAAGATCAGTGTTAATATGCATTAGTTGCACAGTTAATCCCAGGAAGTTAACACGTGAAGGCGAGGTTCTTGAAGCAGCATTAACGTTTTTGTACTCTGTACTTAAATGCAAGCAAAAATGTTATATTGAACGTTTTATAATAATATCTCCTGCCTAACAAGTTTGATAGAGTTCTCTGAAGGATTCAACAGTCATTTGACTAAGGCTGATATGGTCAATATAATATATTTGACCTTTCAAAAAGTTTTGAGCCAAAGGTCACAAAGAAACTTTACTCTGATGGAATAAGAAGGAACGTTCTTTGCTGGATTGGTAAGAATATAAAAATCACAGAGGGTTGGCTGTCCCTGTGTACTGTCTGCGGGGTGGTGGATGCCAATGCGAACACAGCAGAGCTACTGGGGTTCTTTGGGAGAAGGCTCTCCTACCTTCTAGTGCCTTGTCTCTAGGATTTCCTGAGCTAGAGATAATACAATATCTTTCTACTTTGTAAGATTGATGCATTTTTCTTCCATTAATTTGCTCTTTTAAGACAAAGTTGGAAGATGAACAATCAAAGAACAAATGTTGTTTCACAATACTGAGGGTTTTCCACTAAGTCCTCTAGGATTTCCTGAGCTAGAGATAATACAATGTCTTTCTACTTTGTAAACTTGATGCATTTTTCTTCCATTAATTTGCTCCTTTAAGACAAAGTTGAAAGATGAACAATCAAAGAACAAATGTTGTTTTCACAATACTGAGGGTTTTCCACCAAGTCATAGAGTGGTTTTTATTGGGAACTTGTCCATCACAAAGAGGAGTTTGTGAGTAGTGGGGTGGCAGAATTTGAGATAATATGAAATTATTCAGCTTATCAGACTGTTGAGAGTTTCAGAAGAATCTTATGATGCTGCTTGAGATTGGAAATGAAGTCGTATGTCAATAATTGCAAAACTTATGCACGTAAGAAAAAATGCCTTTACTTTTACTCCCACAATAGTGGGCTCCAAATGAGCTGTTATCACTCAGAAAGAGATCTCACGTTATTGTGAACAGTTTTCTAAAAATATCAGGTAAGTGCTTAGTAGTTAAAAAGACAAATAGAATACTAGGAATTATTAGAAAAGAAGTTGAGAACAAAACAGAAAGCCTCATTATACCACTGACCGCATCCGAGTACTGTTTGTAGTTCTAGCTTTTCTCATAGAAAAAAGTCTATATAAAACTTGAAGAAAAACAAAGAAGAACCATAAAGATGAGCAGAAATATGGAAAATCCTTGATGTGAGGAAAGACTGAGTTGAGATTCTTCAGGAAGTAATAGAGGAGACCTGTGAAGTGGTATGGAGAGGGGAGTATGATACAATTATTCACAACTTTTCATAGCAGAACTAATAGGCACTCAGTGAAATAATCACATGTGACGTATAAAACAAAATGAACTAATTTTTCATACAGCACATAATTAAATTGTGGAAGTTACTGCCAAGCAGTGTTGTGAAGGCCAAAAGTATAAATCAGATCAAAAAGAGATTTGATGCACTCATGAAGATTTTAGCTGCTGGTGGTTATTAAACATGATGGTCTAGACTCTGTGGTTCAGGAAGTATCTAGATTGGATTTGCTTTATATTCAAATTGGATATTTTTAATATACTTTTACAAATTATATTTTCATCGTGCAAACTTTTATCTTTTAGTCATGTATTTTAACTGCCTCAGTAGTGTAGCTTTGTGGTACTGAATACGGGAATAATCTGATCCTGCTTGTGATTTCATGTTTTACTTGATTATTTGTGGTGGGATTGTGCAAGGACGCAGTGTTTGTTAACTTTCCCTTCTTCTCCAGGCTCAAAATCGAGGAGCTGGAAGCTGAACGCAGCAAGCTGGAAGAGCAGAACAGATCTCTGGAAATGAAACTGGAGAAGCTAACTCTGCAGGTAGGAAATGTGGAGGTTCAGAGCAGCTGGAGAGCTTGACATGGTCCGTTCACCCTAGCTGTTCCAAGAGATGTGCTGGAATGCTCACAGCACACTACTCATTTCCCTCTCTCTGGACAAGGCATTTTTTGGAAGCCTGTGCAAACTGCACCAACACACCTGGATCTCCGACCGTGTTATTGGAGTGTTTTCACACTCCAATAACAGATGCAATCACACAAATGCAGTTGTCTTTTTCAATGCCTTTGCCTAAAACCTGTTCTTTTTCTTCTTGGAACCTTAAAAACTGTTCCATTTTAAAGACCTCCCCTACCACGAGTTGTCTGTCTCCAAATTCATTCATGCCAAAGTGGGAGTCTAGGCAGGGCTTAACAGCATAGAGCTGATAGAAAAATTTGAGCTCCATTTGTACCGAAGACTCCACTGCTGCTGTGAGCGATGGAGTCAGAGACCATCAGTTTGTGGCCTCATTGAGTAGTAGCTTTCCAAGCCAGGAAACATCTCCAGACCACAGACACAGAGATGCAGGAGGTGCGGAGTCGGAAGGACGAAAGGGTGTGTTCGTTTTGCTGTGCTGCTGTGGGTGTTTTGCCTTTTCCTGAGGTAGTGGTGTCCTGTACAGCAGAAGGTCTTCAGCTTTTTGCTCTGGATGGATCAGTGAGGTCTCACCCTCTCCTTAAGGAGAGCAAGGGCATCTGCAGCAGTTGAGGGGCTGTCTACTCAGCCAGCCCTCGTTCTAGGAACAGCTTTGCTATGAAGAGGAAGGGCATGGGAGTTGCTTCAAGCTGTTATAGTCTTTCCTGTTTGAAAGATGCTGGAGCAAACAAGAACCTGAGCCTGTTTGTTTAATCAAAGCCCATCCTGCAATGTACAGTGTTATCTCTCCCTTCTGTTCTCTCTGATATGCTGAACAATTCGGCGTTGTAGCATTTCATTCTCTTAATTTTTCTTTCTTTCTCCCTTCTTTTTTTTTTCCATTTTCGTGTAAATTGCTTCATGGTAGAAAACCTGCAGGTTTGAAATTGCTCAGATTTCAGACAGACCATTGATTTTATCTTGACACCTATTAGAGGCGAATCAAATCTTTTTTTTTTTATTATTACCAATTCCTAGAGACAGGGGAAGCGACAGCTTTGATAAAGCAGGGAGCTAAGAGCTGCTGAGCATCTCTGCTGAGCCATGTTTAGTGTGAAACCTGTCACCCGGCTCTTCTTTAATTGGATTTCAGTCATCAGAAGGAGATGAAAGCTTTGGGCTGGTGTTTGGATGCTTAGGTCTCCAACAAACACAACAGCAGCTTTGGCTTCAGAGCAGATTACAACTCATTCAGGTCACATTTAATCTGCCAACGTTGTCTTACAATGACTGCTGACTTGCGAGGAAGGCCTGACCAGAGGAATCCCCTATTTCCTTCGTGATATCCAAAGATGCTTTGCTTTGTTTGCTCATACTGCTCTTGAGAAGCTAAAACATTAAGCTTTTTAAATTGCACATTTAAAGAGGGAAGATCCGAAGTCTTCAGTGTAGTCTTGCTAATTGTCTGCCTTCTGGTCCTCAGTAGAGATGAGGAGCAGCTACCAGTTGGATAGCTGAGCTTTCACAGTATAGAAAGGAAGAAAGAAAATAGGAACAAGATGAGACCTTCATCCTGTGGTAAAGCTGCTATACAGTAACAGTTGTACTGTTCACCAAAAAAGCTTTGAAAACTCATTGCAGGATCCCCATGACCTGTCTCATTAATGGTTCTTGCTGTTTGAATGTGCAGAATTGTGCAGGTCAGGGCTTTATGGAGGGAGTGGGGGGGAATAGGAATGACTTGAAGATAGGGCAGAGTGAAAATTCTATGGGAAATATGAGATAACATGTAGGTGTGGAAAAAGGTAAGGTGGTCATCTGGCTTAGCAGGTCTAGGAAAAAGAAATCTGCCAGTCCCCCAAAGGCTAGTTAGTTAGCTGAATTAAGGTAATCATGCTCTTACATCTGCTTTGCCAAAACTGAGGACATGGCTTTAATTCTTTCAGGAAGTAGCTCTCCTTCCTTCACTTCTCACTTTACTTGTGTCTTAGAGGACTAGCTGCCAAAAGCAGCTTCTCCAAAAGAGGAGTAGAGAGCATAAATATAGGAATATGTAAGCTGAATGCTAAAATGGCAGTATTGATTAACGTGTGCCCACCTGAATGGTCAAGATTTCAGAACTCCTCAGAGGGGAAAACATCTTTTTATTCACCTTGAGAATCAGATATCTTGACAGGCAAAGCTTAGAAGGACTTTTGTTCCTTATAGTAGGAACTCACTAAGTTAAGGATAAGCTTAGAAATTCACCTCTTCTATCAGTGCTGAGCAAATACGCTGAAAATATTATTATACACTCAGATAAAGTCACTGAAACGTTGCTAGTTTGACATGTTATTTATTCCCATCTCTGAAAAAAATCACTGGGAAATGATGGGTTAAAATAACTTCTCTTTATCACAAAGGGGGAAAAACACAAGGCAAATTTTATATATAGAAATCACAAGAAAATTTTACTGAACAGAAAGATGATTGAAATTACAAACATGGGAAAAGCATGGCATCAAATCAAATAAAGGTGTAAGAGAAAGTAGGGAGTGACATTAAACAAGGTAGGAGGAAGGCGATTTCTGACAAATCTTTATCTGCAGTTCCTTCTTTTTAAAAATATTGCCTCTGACTTTCTGGAATTGTGTCTGCTAAATGAAAGACACGTAGACAGTGTGTATTAAAGTTGTGAATTTGGAAGAGGCAGGATGTAGAACTAAGGCTTTGACTTACACTGAACTGAAGTCTGAGTTCACAAAGCTGTGTGCGGTGAATAAAATCTAGGGAGATAAAGCTAATATTTGGTAATTAAAACATCAATGTTTGACTGTATTGATGCGTGGAAGGGTGTAAAGTTTCAAAAATGTTTCCATCCAAGTATTGGCACATAACTTTTGCTCTTTTCTGCTTTGGCTGCTGCTAACAGTAGCCCACTTTGTGAACTACGGGATCCTGACGGACTGGCCAGAGGGCAGGCGAGCAGTGGAAGGGTGCTTTTGTGTTAGGTGTGTGATTCACCCTCCCTGAGCTCAGTATTAAATAAAGAAACTGGGATACTGATAGCTATCTGCAGCAGTGTGTGTAACATCTGACATCTCTTTGTATTCTGTGCTTGTGTGGGGACAGCCTGAATTATGGCTGAAGGCGCTTTCCACCTCCACACCCCTTCTTCCAAAACCCCTTGGCTCTTGACACCTAGCTGCAGGCTGCATTGATTTTCCTTCACTGGTATAAAGACTTTAGCATGGATATTACTCACTGGTCAGGTCTTTACTGCTAATAAAAACCTCAGATTACAAAAGCACAAGAGATGTTGGAGCTGTAGAGAAGTGACACCCTGCTGAGGGTGCCTCTCCATCGCCCAGGACGTTATCTTAAGAAAAACATTTGAACTGTGGCTCGGGAGAGGGATTTAAATAATATATGAAAAGAGTGAGTTTAACCAGACAACTTTATCTTCTCTCCCCTACCATTCTTTCTTTCGGTGAAGCTAAAAAGGCTTCCAGGAAAGCAAACGTGCTGTTACTGCTTGGTCTATGTCGGGCAGAGTTGCTGAGATTTCAGTGAAAGGTTTGGTTCGTTTAGCTGTCTGAAATGATCTGGACCATCTTCCCAAGCTGCTGGTGGAAAAGTGCAAGTCGGTGCCAGGAACAAAAGAGACTGATCAAATCAGTGCTTTTTGGATAAAGTGGGAGGAAAGACTTGTGAGGAGTGTTCAATTAGCATTTCTCACTGCTAGGAGGCTTGTGTTTACAGGCAACCAAGCGGATGTGAAGTGTTCCTTATGCAAATACTACTTTCCTGCTTTTCCTGCTCTCCTCTACTCTTCGAGCTGAAGGAGAAGAGATTCTTCAAGTTTGGCTACTTCAAGGAAGATTGATTAGAATCAGCTGCAGTTTGACTTAATTGGATCCATATGCTTGGAGAGGGAGCAGGACTAGTTAGACATCCTTGTAATTAGTTCACAGCTGGTTGGTAAGAAAAATGAAACTCCAGTTAGAGTTCAGATAAGTGGATCTGTACGGATAAAAGGCAGGGAGATGTTGTTTTTTACACTGAGGTGTGTTTGGGCTTGAAAATTGCCTCTAGTCCCATGGCCAAGCCAGCAGCCTAATCCCTTTGAGGGTATGCATGTTTGTTTACGAGGCTAGATGGAAAGGAGTCTTTATCTTCTTGCTTGTTTCTGAATAAAAGGAATCACCTGTGGATACCGGCAGTCAAGGAAACCTCAACAGGGTCACAGAAAGCTGAGAGAGGATTTTGGGGACTAAGTGAGACCCTACAAGGGTAGTTTGGCTGTGAAATGTTCATGGTTTGGCACAAACTGATCTGAACTGATCAACTTTGGATGCGTTGCCCCTGGTCGCAGTAGGAACTAGTTGTGTTTAGCTTTTCTGCTGGTCAGTAATATGACAGCAACGCTCGTTAAAATGCAATATCATTCATCTGTATTGAAATAATTGATTTTTGCCTATTATCTCAAAGAGCTCAGAAAGAGTTGACAGCTGCATAGTATGAGGACAGTCATCAGAAAACTTTCCCCAGCCAGAAACTGGTATTTATGCTAAATTTTGCTGTCAGAATAGAAAGGACTGAATTCCCTATTACAGTGCCCACGAGGGAACTGCCTGAGAAAAACATTCTCCACAAAGTATTTGGGGGTATTTTTTCATGCTGACATGACTTTATTAATGTGTGCTGAGGTGTTCATTAGTGCCTGTGCAGTAGTTCCTTTCTAAATGTCTAACTTTGCTATCGTTATCGACCGTTTTACTTTTTAAGATATTAATGTGGTTAAATTGCATCTTAGTTTCTTCCAGGCTTTAAATTGATTATTTTTGCACAAATTAAAGCGTAAACCATTTGTCCCCTTCGGTGGTAGTTGTGTTGCAGCTGTAATGATTTGAAGATAAGAAATAAGCAAGTTCTGCAAGCAGGAA